CATGGGGTTTTTTTTTTTTTTTTTTATTACTACCACGGGCAAATTGTCAATGAGAAGGAACATAAAGATAAGATCAATCATATTATTTTGTTCGTTTGTAGAAAAGGACTCCACTAGTAGGATAGAGTGTCTCCATACCCACGTGCAAACGAAAGCAGCTTTTGTTTGTTTACTGAAACTCCCCTGTTTCAATCAGGGCCCAATAGCCAGCCCATTAAACAAAACCAAGTAGCCCCCCGTATTTATGTCTCTTTTCGGTGGGATTCTTAAAACCAGAAGCAGCCTATAAATTCATATTGATTGCCTCTTTAACGCTTCATCCTCTCTAACCAACAACCAAAAGTAACAAAGTCATTATTATTTCTCCGTTTAGAGTATAAAGCAAATGGCGAGTTCAGTAAGCAGCAAGGGTTCTTGGATTGTGGCTGCAAGTGTTGGAGCAGTAGAAGCACTCAAAGATCAGATTGTGTAGATGGAATTATTGTTGGGATTTTTAGATCTCGTAAAATTCTCGAAAAACCACCAAACACAACAAATAGAACCACACGAGGTTTAACGTGGAAAACCCTCAACAAGGAAAACTCACGGGATCAAAATCAATCAACTATCATCTCCAAACTATAATTTTTTGCACGGACAAAGACTGCTAAACCGTCTCTCTCACAATACCCTTGAACATGATTACACCTCTAAAACCTTGATTATAAGAATATTGTCTCTCTCCTTCTCTCTGCTTTTCTTGGTTTTTCCTCCAACAATGAAAGAATATATATAGGAAAACAAAAACTGTATCTCTAGCCTAACTTTCTAGTTAGAATAGGATTTAAATTCCTAATCATGATGAAATCCAAACACTTAATCATGATAGATCTCTAATCCTATATAATTCTCATGAAGTTATACAAAGACTCAAAAACACAATCCTAACTTGGAGTTTGAGTTGATACCCAACATATCCTTTTTCGACGAAAAATCTCCAAGTGTCTCAACGGCTTCAGAAAAACACACTCTCTTCTTGTTGTTATTCACCTCTCCCTTGTGGACAAGAGCCTGAGAAGAATCATCTAAACCATTAACAGATCACCCATCTAAATAACAAATATGGTTGTTATTCTTCCTCCCTCGTAAAATCAAATCACAATCTTTTATACACTTTGCATCACTCTCCTTCACCCACATACTTGTATTCACGCGATGTCATTTCACCAATGAAATTAAATTAGCACCATTTGACGGCACATATCTCACATAATGAAGAATTCCGACTTTCCCTGTGTGAAGCTTGAGGCGAACACTTCCAACACCTTCAATCTTCATCTTCGATCTCGTTGTTTCCAACAATCACGTCATCAAATTCTTCATATGTCTTCAATGTGTTAAAAAAATTTCTGTTGTTGCAAACATGCATAGAGGCTGCAGAATCTAATACCCAAGTGTTACTCACATTAGTACATGTAATTTGCATCAATAATATCACATCTTCATCACACACAACCACCGAGGAGTCCGCCTTCTTCTCATTTTCTTGAAGCTTCATCTGTCTAATACTCTTCAAATCATCACGCATCTGGGAACATCTGAACTGAATGTGATCATTCTCTCTGCAATAATAGCACTCTCTTTCGATATCGTCTCGGGCCCGAGATTTTGACATTCCTTGATAAGTATCACATCTCCCCTTACTCCTCCCTCGATTAGAACATTCAAAAGCTAGTGCACTCTCATCATCATTAGATGTGCTCTTCTTTCCCATCATTCTTTCATTCTCACGTAGGAGTGTTATCACATCGTCGAATTTCAAAGTCTGCTTCCCTATAATTATTATCTGAACTAACGGCTTGTATGACTTCGATAAGGAAGACAATATGAGTAACGCATGCTCTTCTTCTTTAATATCCTCATCAATATTCATAAGTTAGCAAACTAGCTGATTAAAGGCATTGATGTGGTCTTGAATTGCAATACCTTCTTCCATCTTCAACGAATAAAGCTCCATCCTCAAACACAATTTGGTTGGTCATCAACTTCGACACATAAATACCCTCGAGCCTTTCCCACAGCCTCCTTAGTGTGGTCTCTTGCATAACATTGTACTTGATCTCGGGGGCGAGTGTCAAACGAATTGTGCTAACCGACCTCTTTTGCATGAAACTTTATTCAGCATCCTTCAATCCTTCAGGTTTCTTCTCCTTCAAATCTTGATCAATACCCTGCTACACAAAAATATCTTGAACCGTGCACTGCCGTACTGCAAAATTTGTCTTGCCGTTGAAAGCGGAATATCGAACTTCGGATCCAAAGAAGTCATCATCCTCTAACCATAATAAAAATTCCAATTAGTCACTGTATAGATTGAATTTGATAAAACTGATATTAAAAACGAACTCAGCATGTCGAAAAACCCTAGGACCGACTCCTGGATTACCAAAATACGCCTCCAAATCCTCGATCAAAAGATAAATCAATCTGCACCTTCGGATTTCTCCACCACGTGATTAACCCCACGTGAACAGGTCTCCCATGCCGCTACAGTATTCTTCTACAGTACCCTTTCTTTCTTTCTTTCTTTTTTGTTTCCCTTGATGTCGATCACCGCGCTTCGGCCGCTGACGCCTTCACCAATCGCGCACCGATCAAACCCCACGAACCGTTGAACCCCGCTCTGATACCACTTATTGGGATTTTTAGATCTCGCAAAAACCCCGAAAAATCACCAAACATAGCAAATAGAATCACACGAGATTTAACATGGAAAACCCTCAACAAGGAAAAACCACGGGATCAAAATCAATTCACTATCACCTCCAAATTACAATCTTTTGCACGGACAAAGACTACCAAATCTTCTCTCTCACAATACCCTTGATCCCGGTTACACCCTCTAAAATCCTGATTATAAGAATGTTATCTCTCTCTTTCTCTCTACTTTTCTTGGTTTTTCCTCCAACAATAGAAGAATATATATAGAAAAACCAAAACTCTATCTCTAGCCTAACTTCCTAATTAGAATAAAATTTAAACTCCTAATCATGATGAAACCCAAAATCCTAATCATGATAGATCTCTAATTCTATCTAATTATCATGAAGTTATACAAATAATCAAAAACACAATTCTAACTTGAAGTTTGAGTTGATACCCAACAATTATGTGCTAAGATCTCTCCATCAACACACTAAGAGCAACACGAGTTCTTTTACTCAAACTAAAAGAATATTAATTGTTTCTTTGTCTGATGCAATTGATAGATTAAGGCGAGGGAAGCTGTTGGCCTTCTTGTTTTGATGATGTTTAACAAACAATTTACCACTAATGTTGTTTGTCTAGTATTTGTGTTTTCCTATGTATTGTAGACAAACAACGTCGTTGGAGGATGGATTGATTGCGCCATAACGACGATATCAAATGGAGGTTGGCGGAATTATGGAGTGAAGCAACATACAATTCAAGTTAAAGATCAAGTTCAAGCTTCATCCGCAAAGTGTACCAAGTCAAGCTTATTGAAGATCAAGATCGGCTTGGGTAATTTAGTTTAGGTTTTATATTATGTGTGTTAGATACTCTAAGCTCAATATCATATACACACACGTATTTGGTTTCTATGCATATATATAGTTATATATATATACATACAAGTGTTTTAGATTTTGATGTTTATATATACATACACGTATTTGGTTTCTAAGCTCAAATATCGTATTCTTAGTTTATAGACTTAACAATCATCATATACATATTTTATCAAGTCTATATAATCATTGTGTAAAGTATCAAAACATTGTTTATGTCAAAACACTAAACTTCATGTATATCACTTTTTCATGTTTTGAACACTTTTCCAAAATAATGAGATTTCACAATTGGGAAATGCAAATTGGAAAATTCTTTTTGTAACATGTTCAAAATATCATTTGCAAACATTTCTCAAAGTTTCATCAAGTTTAGAATTGATTTGTTATGTTTAAAGGAATTTACAAATTCACGTTTTTCGTTCGTGCACATGTTCGTGCCATCCATAGTTGAGAACAATCATTTGTTATATTGTGCTTATTGTGAGATTCACTTTGTAATACACTTGTACACCGAGTGAGGAGTGTGTGGTGAGAGTCGGGGATCGTCCCAAGAGGAGTGGCGTCGGTTGACGTGCCTAGGGAGAGGTTGTAACCGAGCACTTGAGGGAGACACGGCTAGGTCCAACACTTAGTGGGTGTAGAGTGGGATTACAATAGTGTGTTGATTGTAAAGTTTTCGGTTAGCTAGAAAACCGAGTGTGAGGTGTAAACGTTGTTCGGGTGAACGTAGAAAACCCGGTTGATAGTGGATTTCTCCCCGGGAGTGGGGAGCGGAGACGTAGGACGGAAGGTCCGAACTCCGTGATCATCTTTGTGTGTTTGTGATTGTCTTGGCGTCTCACTTGTGCTTATTGTTCATATCATTCTTGTCGCCATTATCTATTGTTCACTTTGTCCACTATCTTGTTTATCTTGTTTATGTTTATATCACCCTTAGTTTATATATCCTTGCATATATATTTCATCATATAGGATATATCACTTTGTGTATATTGCATATTCTTGCCCATAATAGATTGTATACCTATCTTGCAAGAATATAGTTGTTAATTATTTTTAATTGGCATTTAATCGGATTAGATTAGCATAAGACCCTAATCACCCCCCCTCTAGGGTCTAACAATTGGTATCAGAGCTTGGTGCTCTTTGATTTAAGGTCTAATCGCCTTGAGTTAAAGATCCAAGTTATCTTTTTGTGCTAATCTTGTTTTGATTGCATTTGTATCTTGCTTGCATATTTTTACAAATTATGGATATGAATGATGCATCTTGTTTAGGCTATGATTCTAGTATTGCTCCTAAATTCAATGCTTTCCCTTATGCTCAATGGTGTTTTAGATTCAAAATATTTGTTCAATCTAAAAATATCGATTTATGGGAAATCATTGATTGTGCTTATATTGTGCCCACGT